TAAGAGCCCCACTGCGCAAGGGGAGCGACACTGGCAATGCAGGTTTGCCGAAGAGAAGCCATGAAGCGCTTCCTTAAGTGAAAAGGTGAAAGTTCTCGACTTAAGAAAGAAAAAAACCCATATGCTGAGATCTATAGTAAGAATGAATCTTTTATCTGTGAAACTGCGAAGAAGGAAAAAGAAATTCATGTATAATCTATACGGGGTTCGGTACTATCTGCAGTTTCAGGCATCCACTGGGGGGCATGGCCCGTGGATAAGGGGGGACTACTGTATTACTAACAAGGACATGTGCTGCCTATTGTGCCACATGCCCCCAATTCACCTATAAATACACAGGGTCAGGCCCCAAACCTCAAGCCCAACCTTGACTGCTCCTTCACCCTCTCCACCCACTGTCCTATCTGTCCCAGAGTGTGCCCACTGTACCTACTGAGTGTCCCTCAGATCTGTACCTTGGCCCATTGGTGCTGCTTCCATCTTGGTCCAGGACATTGGTCCAGGCCCAGCGTTACCTCGAAGCAGGACGACTGCAACAGCCTCTCCCTGGTCTCTCTCCTCCAGTCCTGCCCTCCAATCAATCTCCGGCCCTCCTCTGTGTGGCCACAGTGATGATTCTAAAATGCCAACCTGATCACTTACTCCCCAGTTTACAGCTTTTCCATGGCTTCCCTTTGCCCTCGGGGCTCTCGAGGCCCTCCATGGGCCTCTGCCTCTCACTCCTGCCTTCCCATTCTCTCCTCCAACCTCCTGAGCCACTTTCATCTCTGTATCCCAGCCCGAGGTCTGTGTAGCCAGGAGGTGACATTGAGGAAGACTGGCCTGGCTTGTGAGTGGAGTTGGAAGAGTGAAGGGGGCCGTGGGGAAACAGGGTTGTGAGACACAGGTGATTTGGCGTCGGCGGGTGCTGTGATGTTCATGCCATAATAGGTGCCTGGAGGCTGCCACACAGAGTTCTGGGAATCGAAGAAATACCATGAGAAATAGACTGTCAAGGAAGTTTGGGGTCAGTGCCCAAATCTGATTTTTGTCTGTTCTTACCTACTAGTTTACTGAGCATCTAATATATGTCAGCCATTAGGCATATTACATCTGATTTAATTCTACAAAACCCCCACGACGTAAGGATTATTACTAGTTCCATTTAATAGGTACGGAAAACAGAGGCCTGGAATGGTTAAGTAACTTCTCTAAACTCAAGGTGCAAATAAAAGCCAAATCTATGATTTGAAACCCAGCTTGTCTGACTCCAGGACCCTGAGAAAAGGCACACTTGGCCCCCAAGCTGGGGAGAGAGACACGGGCGCTGGTGGGTGGGAGGAGAAGTGGTGGTGGGTGGGAGAGAAAGCAGGGCAGGCCTAGGGCCAGGGCAGGAGTGGGAAGGCCACTGGGGTCCAAAGGGAGTGGGTGGTAAAGGAGGGAGGTGTGAGAGACAAACTTTGCCTCTTTCACAATGTCACTCAGGATTGGCCCCACTCGTGCCCTGAACCTCATCCCAATCTAACTCGGAGCCCCTGAGAGCCTGGGAGGTATGGGACCATCAACACATCCAAGACTCCCAGAATCTTGGAATGATCCAGTCTCAGAACCATAACATGGTACAACTCTGGAAGCTTTGTGTTCTGTGAATTGTAGGCTTTTAGAAACTTGGAATTCTCAAATCTTGACTCCGAGAAACCTAGATCTTTGGAGTCTTAGAATCTTGAAATCATGGATTCATAAATTATGTAGAAAATCTTCAAAGATCATAGTTTACCCCACTCCCCTTATGTTGCAGATGGGAAACTGAGGCTCAGAGAAGGGAAGAAGGCATCTTCCTGAACGTCACACAATGAACTTGTGGCTTAAGGAGCTAGAGCTCCTTCCCTGAGCCTCGTACAAGGATTGGCGCTAGTGCCAGGGCCCTGCCGCCTGGCAAGTCCTCCTCCTGCTGCTTTTGGCATGGCCTTGGGCACTCACCTCCCTAGAAGAAGAGAGAGCTCCAGGCAATGCCACCCTTCCTTGTGCCTCTCACCTTAGAGGGCGTGGTGAGGTGCGAATTGTGGCCACAGGGGGCCTCCTGCCAGGCCCCCCACATTCTCAGCCTCTGCCAGATCTATTGGTGGAGGGAAGGGGCTTTCTGGTCTGGGCATTAGCTGAGACACCTTTTCTGTCTTCATGCTCTGAGCAGGCGGTGAGGTGGAGGGGGTGCCAATTGGCACAGGGGCCAGGGCTACAGGGCCACCCCAAGGAAAGTAGGACAAGGTTTCTTCAGCAACAGGCTGAGACCTAAGGTGGTGGCAGTGTTGCAATCTCCGCAGCCCTGGTCAGGGGAGGAGACTGAGGAAGAAAGACATTATTCACTCCTTGGAGAGTTGGGCTGGCTCTGACCGGCACCCCAGCTGGGCCTGTGTCCCACCCTCTCTGCCAGTGGAGGCTGAGAGATAAACACAGCTCATTTGATACGGGCCAGCCGGGCCAGCGGGCCTTGCTGACTTGCTGGGGAATGTGAGAGACAAACTGATCACTCCTCTTCTTCGAGGGGCTGGGAAGGGGATGGGGAGGGAACTAAGCCATGTGTTCCTCGGGCCCTCAGCAACCCTCGACACACAGACTGAAGGCATCATGCAGCCTCAAATCTTTGTCCTACAAGGCCCAAGAGGACAGAGCAGGAATGGTGGGGGAGCCAGAGGGAAACCAAATTTCAGCTTCTTACAAAGAAAACTTTCCAAGGTCAGGAATGGCCCACGAGCTCCTGCTCCCTGGAGACGTGTGCCAGGGGCCGTGCTCCAGCCCACCCCCCAGTGCTGAGGGGGAATTCCTCAGTGTGTGAACCCTCCCTCACCCAACAAGCGTTCTGCTTTCAGTGCTCTGCGATTCTGTGAGTTTGAAAGTCGAAAAGAATGTGATTCAGGAAGTGTGAGAGCCCACGCTTCCAAGATGCTTGATTCTAGAAAGCAGGAAGGAGGCATGAAAGGCAACTTCTAGATTCTAGACCAATAGAGGTCTAGGAGACAAAAACAGGGCAGAGGGATGGTGGCTGGCAGGGCAGAGAGAGAAGGTTGCTGAGCCTTTAGCCCTGGGATTGGGTAAAAAGCCATCAAGGATAAGGTGAAACCCAAGAGCTCTACTCTGGAGCCAGGAGTCCTGGGTTGAAATCACTAGCTGGAGGGCTTTAGGCAAATCACTTAGTCTCTGTAGCCTTAGTTTTCTCATAATTATGGTAACAATGGCAAAGACACTGCAAGATGGATATTATCGTCTTCTGGAATAGATGATAATTATCCATCTTGCAGTGACTTTGCCATTGTTACCATAATTATCGTAATAATAGCATCCTACTAAGTGTCAGGAACTGGACTTAGCACTTTACAAGCATTTTCCAATTTAATTGTCAAAACAATAATGTTAATGAAATAAGTAACTTCTGTAAAGACTTCCACACAGAGAGGAGAGTCGATAAATGTTGGTTCCTTTCTCCCTACTTCAATCTCATTTAATTCAGCAAACGTTTGCTGGCACTTAGCTTGTGCTGGGCCTCCCAGTGCCTCCTGGAAAGAGCTCAGGTAATGGAGTTCTCATAGGAATGACAGCGTCTGATCCTTCTGGGCTGTGAAGATCACCAGGTTCCTGCATGGAGGATGGTTGGTGGGGACAGGGCAAGAGGCAGAGGGCCGGGGGCTGCAGCACAGGACTGGGAGGCCTGACCAGGGCTGGGCAGGGAGTGGGGAAGAGGTTGGGGTGAGAGGAGACTGTTGGGCTTTGAGAGGTGAGAGAGGTTCCTGGAAAGCAGGATTCAGGAGAGCTGTCTCACCCACTGCACAAAACAAATGGATCTCAGTCATTCTTAGAAGGATTCATCTACACATTGACAACTGATGTGCAGATTACAAAAAAATCAGCTGACATGACAATCACAAACCATGTAGTAGCAGTGACTATTTTTAAGGATACTTAAAAGTTTTCTAACAACCTTTCCATCATGGCTCACTGAGATGCAGGGATATATTAATATAATAGCACAGTATGAAGGCAGGAAAGCTGCCGTGAGTGGCTTTATTCAAAATGTAGGCCACACGGCCGGGCGCGGTGGCTCACGTCTGTAATCCTAGCTCTCTGGGAGACCGAGGCGGGCGGATTGTTTGAGCTCAGGAGTTTGAAACCAGCCTGAGCAAGAGCGAGACCCCGTCTCTACTAAAAATAGAAAGAAATTAATTGGACAACTAAAAATATATAGAAAAAATTAGCCGGGCATGGTGGCGCGTGCCTGTAGTCCCAGCTACTTGGGAGGCTGAGGCAGGAGGATCGCTTGAGCCCAGGAGTTTGAGGTTGCTGTGAGCTAGGCTAACGCCATGGCACTCTAGCCCAGGCAACACAGTGAGACTCTGTCTCAAAAAAAAAAAAAAATTGTAGGCCACAGGACCCAGAGAGGACCCTGTGTGTGTGTGTGTGTGTGTGTGTGTGTATCTGTGTGGGAGAGAGAAAGGGATGGGAAAGGAAAGAGAGGAGGGAGGGAAGGAAGGGTGCGATGATGTTCTAAATAAATAAGCCACATAGGACAAAAGTGAAGGAAACAAGTGTGATTATGAGGGCAGAAGGAGCACTGGACCAAGAGTCAGGTGACTAGTGCTGTCATCCCTACCTGGCGGCTGACTCGTCCTGTAGCCCCAGCACTGTAATTTATCCTCTCTGGGCTTTATATTAATTATCTAATCATAACAACTAACATTTATGCCACAATTTAAATCTGTAAAGCATTTTCACTGCTTGTTCCCCTAACTGCCCTGTGAGATACGTGTTAAGGCTCAGAAAGGGGTAGTGACATGCCTAGTGTCACACAGCAAGTCTGTGGTCAAGCTGAGATTCACACTCAGACATTCTGGCCCCCTGACTGTCCAGCAGATTCTCTTTTGCCTGAGTGGTCCAGATGACATCCTTCCTAGAGTCAGAAAGGAGGGGGGATGAGACAGGGTCTTTGGGCTGGAGCCTCCCGGGACTAATGGCAGTGGCTGGTTTTCCAGGCCCAGACATGTTCTGCCTTTTCCACGGGAAGAGATATTCCCCTGGTGAGAGCTGGCACCCCTACCTGGAGCCACAGGGCCTGATGTACTGCCTGCGCTGCACCTGTGCTGAGGTAGGTTCCTCTGGCCACCTGGCCACATGTATCAGGTAAGTCTGGGAAACCTCCAGAAAATTCACTCCAGGGGGAGGGAGGACAGCCTGACTCTGGAGGTCAGGGGAACTCTGGAACCAGGCCCCCTAGAATCGTGCTGTCGGCGGCAGCTGAGGGACTTGGGGCAAGCTGCTTCACTACTGAGTACTCGACACATAGAAGATGGCTACCGTGCGCTTCCCAGAGATAAGTCACACAATGGGCTGGTTGGGCTGGGATGAGGACCCGGGTTCCCATCTGACATCCCAGCCTTCTTTCCACCTAGTACTGGTACCAGCCTCCCTGCCTCCTATGTGGCCCAAGGCGAAGCCTTTTTGACTTTACCTTCCATTCCTTCCAGCCACCTCTCCTGTCCTCTAACTCCACTGGCCCAAATATTTATCCTTTAAGGCTTTACTGAAATGAGCAAATGACCTCCACCTGGGAGTATTTTCTTCTTCTGGAATCCACATCAGTTTCTCTGTCCCTTTCTGCTGATCACTGTTGGCCAGGTGTCATAATTACTCGTGGATGTCGGTTACTGCCCCTCCTAGACGAGGCCCCTGAGAACAGGTCTTGCTGGGCCCTCACTCATGCCCAGCACAATGCCCTGCCAGAGGCTGAACCGACTGGCGCAGAGCATTTGCCTTTGTTCTCACCTCCATCTCCTCCCACCGCATGGCAACCTAGCACCTCCGCAGGGCCTTGTAAAATCAACTGGGTAGAATAAATGAGACCCTCATGTGGTCCAGAATTCTCAAGCAGGGTATGAGGTTGGAGGGGTGGAAGAGAAGGGAGTGGCTTAGGAGGCTTGAAAAACCCTTGGCTTTGGCTCAGCTGTCTGGGGCCCAGTCTGGACACCCCCAGCTTGCTTTGTCTGGGTGCTGGTGCTTGGCAGGGAGGGGTAGTAGCTCCCAGCTGGAGCCAGCCCCTCATCCCTCTCTGTCCCTGCAGGGAGCTGAGAGAGGGACGCAGAAGGCCTCCAAGAGGCTCCCTTGTTAAAGCAGAACCCTCTGGGATGGGAGCAGAGGAGAGGTCCCCAGGAGACGCTAGGGGTGCAGGAGGGGGTGGGCCAGCCCCTCTCCTGACTCTCCCTCTTCCCCTCTTGATTCCCCACTGCTTCGACTGCATCGGCCCCAGGTGGAATTGGGGACACAACCCCCACAACTACTTCCCCTCAGTTTTCCTTAGCACATCTGAGGCCAATCAGCCTTTTCAAAAAGAACTTTATGAAATATAGCTGGAGAACAGAAAGGAAACCATAACAGAAAATTCCAGACATATCATGTGGTCCAGTTGACAAAGTCCAAGTTTTTTGATCCATTGGAGTTAATTCATTTCTCCTTCCCCAAAGTTTACATACAAACAGTTTCCTCAACCCAGAGGACTGTTGCCGGTGTCTCCAAAATATGCCCTCAATCCCTCCACTTCTCTCCACCGTCACCGCTCCCCCTAATCCATGCCACCTTCATCTCTATCCTGGGCATGCCCCCTCTAAATCCATCCTTTGCATGGCAGCTAGCATGATCTTTTCTAAACATAAAACTGATCGTGTCATTCTGCTCTTAAAACCCTCCGGTAGCTTTTCGTTGCACCAAAGGAAAAGTCAAATTCCCTGTCGGGGGCTGTGTGTGATCTGACTTCTGCCTTATTCTCCGACTTCGCTTCATACCTGCTCACTCTGCTGCAGCCACACGGTCTTCCATCGGTCCTTCCAGCACTTGAGACCCGTTCCCACTTGTTCCCCACACCTGGAATGTCCTTCCCCAGATCTTCTCATGAAGGGCTCCTTCTCATCTCCAGTTCACAGCAGAAATGTTACCTCCTTATGAGGCCATCCATGACAGATGTTTCCAAAATAGTCTACCTCTGTGGGCTAAATCACATTACTCTGTTTTATTATATCATAAATTTAACATCTGACATTGTCTTCTTCCTATTTGCTTAATTATTTTATAGTCTGCCTCCCACTGCTAGGATGTAAACTCCGTGAAAGCAGAAGCCTCAGTCTCACTCACTGCTGTGTCCCTAGTGCTCAGAAGGGGGCCTGCCACCCGGCAGACATGCAGCAAGTATTGAGTGACAGAATGAGTCCATGCCCCGTCTGCCAGAGGTGGCTCAGTGTTGTGGAAAGTGCCCGGCCCTGGCGACGGTGTTTACCTGCTGTGTGATCTTAGGCAACCTCACCTCTCAGAGAGGCTCTTTTCTCACTTTGAAAGTGTGGATAATAGTACAGTACTCCTGGGGTTGTGGAAAGATGAAGTGAGACCATCTATTTATATATGATATAAAGCCCCTACCTCATAGCCACTCAATAAATAGAAGCTGTGGCTTCCCTGCGAGCTCCCTTTGGCTGCAAAGGGTTTTACCCCCTCCAGGGTGGGAGAGGGATGTGGGCGGGTGGGCCAGGTGAAATCTCCATCCTGGGCAGGGGAAGGGGAGGAGCTAGGCACACTCGAGTTCATTGTTTTTAAGCCTGTCCTAGGATTAAGACAAGTGCAGAGTTCTGCAGTCAGGGTGGGGGCTTGGGAGAGGACAATGGGAGGCAAGGGTTCTTTGGACACAGAGCCGACCCTTGTGTCCCCTTCAGAACGCCCATGTGAGTTGTTACCGCCTCCACTGCCCACCTGTCCACTGCTCCCAGCCTGTGACGGAGCCACAGCAGTGCTGTCCCAGGTGTGTGGGTAAGTAGCCCTGCCCCTCCCCTCGCACCAGCCTCCCATTGCCCACTGACCTCCATCTCACTCCCAACAAGCCCCCGGCTGAGGGGGGCCCTGGAAGGAGAGGGACAGCCTCCCCACCCATCAGGGTGTTGAGACACAAAGGTGCTCAGGGGCGGAAACATCCTGGATCCCCACACAGTGCTGGGGTAGCAGCAAACTTCCCATTCTTGGGTAGGTGTGCCAAGCAGGAGGGAGGAAATGTAGAAAGTAGCTGAAGGAAACAGGGGCTTGCTTGGCCTGCTGCCGGCACACTTGGGCTCCAGTCTCTCTCTGGCTGGTGGGAGCTGGAAGGAGTGGACACACTCTGGGAAGTGTGGGTAAGTGACCTTGGGCTGGGAGGCCCCGCAGGGAGACCCCGGGATGACCACCCTGGGGCTGGAAATGACTGAATGCGTTGGTTCATGCGCTCTGAGACTCCTCCCAGTCCTGGCTGAGATTCGGGAACTCTGTGCCCTGATGCTAAATGTCTGATTCCATGATTTGAAGATTCTAAGAGCCTCTGAGACTGGCATTCTAGGAGGTAGAGGTAAGAGAGAGGAGAGGCGGTTCTGGCATAACCAAGTGGCCAGTACGTGGTAGCTGGGGGGAGGCCAACTTAGAAGTGAGGGGGATGTTGAGAGGACAATCGATGTCTAGAAGAATCAAGAAGGTGAGGAAGGAAGAGGCTCCAGATTTTGGCCTCAGCCCTGGGCTCTGGAACCAGGGCTCTCCTGGTGAACGGGTGTGGAGTCTCTGGAGAGGGGCTCATTTTCTAGGTGGGAGCCCAGTAGGGATCTGACCGTGGCTCTGACTTGGGCCACAGAGATTCCTGGCTCTGGGCTCCCTAGTGGAGCAGAGGCCCTCGGCTTCATCCTGCCTCCTGCATGTCTGACACTGGCTCCTGGGGTCCTTGCCTCTCCTTGCTCACTTTGCGATTCCCCTGCCCCCACCCCTGTGCTGGCCCAGGCCCCTCCTTGCTCAAATGCCCTTCGCTCCTCTCTTTCTATCCCCTGCCGCTCTGCCTGCTTGGCTCCACTTGCTCTTCAAGACTCAGCTCAGCCATCAGCCCCTGCAGGGAGCCCTCCCTGACCACGTCCCGACTGGGTCGCGGCTCCTCCTCGGTGCGGCCACAGCTGCCGTGCGTCCGTCCGCCCTCGCTCTTCCAGGAGGTGCCATTGCTCATGCCTTGTCTCTCTACCCAGGGAGATTTTGAGTTTCCTGACGGCAAGGGCTGTCACCGGCCCGTCCCCAACGCCCGGCATGGTGCCTGGTACAGAGGGGTGCGTGGGAAAGGTGTCTCGAATGCACAAGTGGGTTCTCAGGACCAAAGGTTTACTCTTCGACCCGGCAGGATGAGGACTGACTAACGGGCAGGTGGTGAGGGGGCTCTGGGGGCCTGTGAAGGACAGGAGTTTACACAAGCACAGAGACAGTCTAGATCATTCTAGCTGGCTCCACTAGAATGTAGTCCCTGAGAGCAGGGACTCTGCTCTTGTTTTGTCCACTGCCATGTCTCCAGCACCTAGAACAGTGCCTGGCACCAGGAGGTGCTCCACAAACGCTCGTGCAATGTTGAGTGAACCAATTCAGGCCCCACCTGAGTGGGGCTCAGTGGGGCTGAGGCTTCCAGCTTTTCCTTCTGGCTCTGCCCAGGGCTGGCTCAGACACTGAAGGGCTGAAAGGCTGCAGTGGGGGACATGTGAGAGAGTGACGTGGTCAGGCGTTGGTACCAGCGGGACCTCTTGGTTAGCTGATGTGGGCAATGGCCGGCAAGGCCTAGGCCAGGGCTTGGTTGAAATGTCAAGATAGGATAACAAAGATCTTAGATCCACATGAAATCTCATTTTCTTCTTCCTCCTGCCCTTCCCCACCTACAGAACCTCACACGCCCTCTGGGCTCCGGGCCCCCCCCAAGTCCTGCCAGCACAACGGGACCACATACCAACATGGAGAGATCTTCAGTGCCCATGAGCTGTTCCCCTCCCGCCTGCCCAACCAGTGTGTCCTCTGCAGCTGCACCGTAAGGCCTTCTGCTGCCCCTCGGCCCAAGCCAGTGGTCTGGGCCGGAAACGAGCATAGTAGTGTGGACTGGGTGGGGGTGGGGGGCGGACTATTCCCTGGTCAAGGCAAATGAGGGGCTCAGAGGGAAGCCAGCATCCGGGGTTTGGAATGTCCTGCCCTTAGCCAGGCCACCGTTCTCTGGGCTTCCACACCCTCCTAAGCTTTCTGTTTCCCCTAGTAGACACCACATTCCTTGAAGGGAGGAAACATACCCATTTTAGTTCTGTATCCTCCACTGTTCTCGGTCCAGGGCCTGGCATGCAGAGGATGTCTGTAATGACAGTTGAATGAAAGAATGAACAAGTGAATGACCAGTTATCAGTCCTGAGGCACAGGGACAGGGCCAGACTGTGCAAATGGAATTTTATCTGAAGCTACTTAAACTCCTCCTGCTTATGGTCAGAGTTGGGCCTAGGGACAGGCAAGGCTGATTCTGCAGTGTTATCAGGGGACAGAGACTGAAGCTAAGCAGGGCCTGATCTGGAAAGTCTTCACCCTCCTTGTGGAGGGGGTGTTTCTAGACCCTTCTATAGGTTTGCAGGTGGCTTTCTGGCATGTCATTCTAAACCGTATAGCAACTCATGTGTGAATTGGCAAGAGAAAGCCTGTCCTCCTTATTTCCTTCCTACTACCTGGTCACCACACTTCCCTGGGCCTCAGTTCCTCCGAGTGCGCAAGGGAGCCTGGCCAAGTGATCTCTGCTGTTCTCTCCACAGCAGGTGTGGGAGACCAGTGCGTGGGCTCAGCCCTGCCTGGTTCCCTGAGTGACCTTGAGCAAGTCACTTCTCTTGGGCCTGCTTCCCCATCTTTCCCATGAGAAGGTGTCATCAGTCTGAGGCTCTGAATCTTAAAGTTTCAACCCACAAATAATGAGAAGTAATCCCTCATAAACCAACCTAGCAGGCAGTTACTTTTTGCAGGCCGTGAGCCTCTGGCAATGTTCTAGTATACTGTGTCACTAAGTTCATAGAAATGCCTTGTTTAAGACAGTATCCCAATAACCCTGGAATAATCACTATTCCTAGTTCAGATGAGGAAACTGGGGCTCAGGGCAGTTAAGTGATTTGCCTAAGGTCACACAGCTAGTAAGTGGCAGAGCCAGAATTCAGACCCGGGACTACCTGACTCCAAAGCCAGTGTTCTTTTCCCTGTGTCATGCTGCCTCCTGTGAAGGGACAAGGGCCTGGATTAGGTGGGGCTGTGGGAAAAGAGAGAAGTGATGGTGTTGGGGTTGTGAGAGCACTCTCGCATTCCTTTGTCCCTTCTCCCTGGACACTTGGGCCTCCCCGTCCTTCTTCTCACCCTGTATATGGGGCTGACCTGACTCCCGCCTCCCCTGAGGGATCAGATCATCACTTCTCAGACTCAGGGGAAAGGAATAGTGAAGGGACTCAGGGCAATGTCACTTCCTCCCTGCATTGTGCCTGACAGTTTAAAAAGGGTCTTCTCGACCATTCCCTCGGGGAATCTTCACACCCCAAGCGTGCGTGCCCCCACTTCCCAGAGGGGCAGCCTTAGGCCCAGAGGAGAGAAGCGACTCCCCAAAGGTCACCGGCCCCTGACTCACAGAGGCCCTTCCCCTTGCGCTCCTGCCTTTTGAGGCTGGATCCTGAAGTGGGAGACCTGGGGCCTTCAGTAAGAGCAAGAGCCCAGGTGTCCCCCACTGATGGGCCCACTGTGCCAAGCCAGGGGAGAAGGACGTTGATTTCAGGAGGAAAAGCCTGAAGACTGGGCTCTCTTCCATTCTGTGCCGACCGTCCCTCTGACCTGAGGTGGCCTAGGCCCTGCTCCAGGCTCTTCACCTGTCACCTGTCACCTGTCACCTACCTCGCCAGGCTGCCGTGAGAGCTGAGGGGGAGACTGGGTGTGACAAAGCTTTAGAAGCTTAGGGATGAATGTCACCTGCAGGGCCTGGGAGTGGGAGTGGGGATGGTCCAGGGGACCCCTCCTCTGAGCTGGCTGGTTCTTGCCCAGCAGACTCTGCTGCTCCCTTGGTCCCCCACCTCAGGGGGGCCTCAAGGCCATTTGTCCCCAGGGAAGGGTGCTCTCCTAGCCCCAAGGCTGGTCCTCAGGAGAGCTCATCTCCCAGCGCCTGTTTGCTCTGTCTGTCAGGAGGGCCAGATCTACTGTGGCCTCACAACCTGCCCTGAACCAGGCTGCCCCGCACCCCTCCCGCTGCCTGACTCCTGCTGCCAGGCCTGCAAAGGTGAGTCTGTCCCTAGATGTGGCAGTTCCCACCCTCCCTTCTGCTCCATGGACCTAGCCATGGACTGTCAGAGCCAGGAGGAACCTCAGGGCACACCCAGCATGTAGCAGACCATTCCTTCCTCCAGGGTGGTGGCTTAAGCTGGGCCCCGCAGAGAGCCGGTGGCAGACGCTGATGTGCTACTTATTTTTTATTGCAATCCCAGGGAGCAGGAGTGAGAGAAAGGGGGAGTGAAGCAGGGAAGGAGAGAGAAGCAACACAAGAGTGTGTTTGGGAGTTGGCCTCCACTTAATGACCAAGCATGACCTGTTGCCTCAGTGGTCTCTGCTCCTCAGGGAAGTCTAGGGGTGGTAGAGGAAGAGGGCAGAAGGCATCCACCAGCCACCAACTAATGCCCACTGGTCAAAGCTTCACCCCAAGGGTGTTAATTCCTGTTTTGCATGCATGTGTGGGTGCCAGGTAGCCCCAGAAACAGAGGCAGGAGTGGGGCGGGGTCAGAAGTGGGGACACGGGACAAAGACAGGAGGCACTGTCAGGCTGAGCTGAGGCAGCCGTCGGGAGCCCATGTAGAGGGTGCTGCTGCAGGGCCCACAAGTGGACAAAGTCCCTGCAGTCAGATGAGGCCAGGAGACCAGAGAGGCACATGAGAGTGGTCTGTACAGGCAGGGACCACGTCTTCTGCCTTCCTCATGGCAGAGCTGGGCACAGGATTGGTCTCACTGGGGCTCAGAATGCGTCTGTCAGGCCGAATCGAGGTGGGACCTCTGTGTGAAACAAAGAGGCTGCCACATTGGCTAGTGAAGGGCAGACCGGGCTTCAGGACAATGAAGTGGTGGAACTGCTCCCTGTGGGCTGGGATCGTCAAGGAAAGCTTCCTGGGGGCGGCAGCACTCAGGTAGGGGAGTGCTCCACAGTGGATGTGCCCCCAGATGCTGGCATTTGGAAGGGGCACTGGAGTGGAGTCGGGTGACTCCAGTTTAGTCCTGTTTCCTCCAGCTGACTTCACAAATTCCTTCCCTGCTCTGGGCCTCAGGTGTGCTGCGTGTTCACTGAGAGCTTGGCCTTGGTGGTTTCTCACGGTCTGTTTCCAGTGTTCTGGGGCTTTGAATAGGAATGTTCGGTGGGAGTCAGAGCCACTCAGGACATCAGGAAGCTGCAGGGCTCCAAAGGGCTCTGTATGCTGCTTCCCCCAGGGAATGGGGGCTGGGGGAGTCCTAGGGTGTTCACACTGGCGGGGCAGAGGGGCTAGAACGCAGGGCCCTGGGAGTGTATAGTGTAACTCTGGGGCCTGGGGACTTTAAGTGTGGCAGGGTACAGTGGCTGCCCAGGGAACTGCAACTAAGAAGGATTCTGGGCCATTGGGCCATCTGTGGTGGGCACTGAGGAGTATGTATGGCCCAGGGTCTCAGAGAGGTGGCTTGTAAATATGGACTAAACAAGATGCTCTGTTCCAGCCAAGCATTTTAGTCCTAATGCTGACCAGGAGGTCAGTGTGGGGAAACTGAGGCAGCAACTCAGTCGTAGGGACGTCATTAACCCAACAAGGATGAAGAGAAGCTGTAATGAGAAGTGGAATAAGCCCCTACTGGGGCAAAGGGACCTGCTGGTGGGCATGGGCTGCAGAAGTGGCAGTAGGCCTTGGGGAGGCACAGAGCCTGTAGGTGGAGGCCTCAGGGATCTAGCCAGCAAGGCTGCACAGCCTGAGGCTGACCCAACTTCCCTTTGAGTTTTCAGAGGGAGCAAGTGAGAAATCAGCAGAAGAGGACACGACGCAGTCACACCGTGGGGCGGTGAGTGCACAGCGTTACTGATGGGGTGGGAGAGGGGAGGCTGGTATCCAGTGCCCCAATCTTTATAACTGGAGCAGGCAATACCAGTTATTGTCTTCACTGCTCATTTGTCCCCTGGGTCAGCTACATTAGCCCCCACCCTATTCTGTCCCCTCTCCCCTTCCTCCCACTGTGGGTACCATCTCGGCTGATGGGCAGGAGTGGCCTGGGAGAACACAGGTCACCACGAGGGCAGGAGCAGGCCCCAGACTTCTCATTTCCCTCTTGGGAAATTCTCTGACACTGTTCCACCCACAGCCCGTGTCTCTCCTTAGCTCAGGCTGCCTCTGGGGAGCACGCTCTCCCAGGGCAATGGCCTCTGACTCCGGCCAGCCTTCCCCACCCAGTTCCTGAAGTACCGGTTCTTTGTCTGGGGTCTACCTATCTGTTCCCACCACTGTCTTGCCCCTCTCAATCTGGGTCTAGAGATAAGGTGGACTTCACTCCTCAGCTGTCTCTGGTCTGAGAGGAGAGGTGGGAGAACAGGCTCACACTGACGCAAGTCCCGGGTCCGTCCTCTGTGCCGTGTCCACAGTGTGAACAACTCGACCTGCTCTTTCAGCCTGGGTCCCCTTCCTAGAGATTGGCCAGGCGTCTGAGCTCATGACCTTACCCTTCTCGCCTGCCAGCTCACCCTGCCTTTCCAGGCTGGGCCTTCTCTGTGGGGGCCTGTACCCCAGGACCAGAGCCATCCCACCCCGTCCTTCCATCCTCTCCCCAGGAGGCAGAGTGTAAGAGAAGCCCACTCAGGCTCAGTTGCAGGCCCTGAGCTGCTACTTACTGACTTGCTGGGTGACTGCAACTGGTGATTGGGCTGTTCGATTCCTTCTTGCCTTTGTTCCACTCAGCGAGCAACTCCTGGGAGTCCCTGTGGGCTCAGTCTCTGGGCCACCAGAGAACCGACTCAGAGACCGTGCTGGGCAGGAACAGGCTGTAGAAGGGACGTGAGTGACTGCGCGTCAGCGAGGGAGGAGATAGGCTCCTCTCCCCTGGCCTGGAGCTGCCCGCAGCACACACCTGCTGCTGTCACTGCCAGCCCTCCCAGGGCCTGGGCTGGAGGGGCAGGGGCTCAGGAAAGGGGGCCCGAGCTCTGGAGACCCTGTGTCTGGATGGGGCCTGCTATTAGTCTCCATGCCCATGGGATTCCAGGGCCCAGTGGGATCTTCAGATCCCAGCCCCTTGTCCCAGCACCTCAGTCTTGTCACAGGAGAATTTCCTGACTTGTATCCTCACTCCAGGCCTACCTGCTGTTTCTTAAACATTAAGTTCTCCACATCCCTGCTCAGTTATATTATATTCCCCAGAGCAAGCCCTCAGCACCCTCTGCACACCCCAGCCCCAAGGCCTTGGCTCTGACAGGGCCTGAGAAGGGCTTGGTGGAAGCTGGATTTCCCAATCGCTGTCCTCTGACAGTTTTCAAAGATCCACTGTCTGAAAACATCTCATACCCCTCCAGATCTCCCTGTCCCTAGCCTGTGCCCCCTCTTCCCTGGGAAGTCATGCTGGTGTCACCCCTAGGCCTCTCGGCTACAGCCTGTATTGCTGTTCCTCCAGCAGCGGTGGCCTGCCACACTCACCCAGTGTTCTTCATCCTCCCTGCCTTCTGCAGAGACAGCCTCAGGATCCGTGTTCGGGTGACGGCGGGAGAAAGAGAGGCCCAGGCACCCCAGCCCCCACCGCCCCCAGCGCCCCTCTGGGCTTCATCCCTCGCCACTTCCGACCAAAGGGGGCAGGCAGCACGACTGTCAAGATTGTCCTGAAGGAAAAACATAAGAAAGGTGGGGACTGGACCTCCTCCAGTCTGTGAGGCAGGGAAGGGGGCCCTGTCTGCTCCCACTCGCCCACCCTGCGCCCTCCCCCAGCAGTTCCCCAATCCCAACTTGGCTGTGAGCTTGTAGACTCAGAGAGCATCAAAACGGAAGGCGCCTTTAAAGGTCATCAGGCCTAAACCCCCATTTGACAGACGAGGACACTGAGGTTCAGAGTGCTGAGTTAGAGACAGAGCCAGGCCTGGAACAGTACAATATTTTTTTGAGCATCTGCCATGACTTTGCAAGGAAATGGGGGAGACAGAACAGACAGGTGAGGAAACAGCCTCTCAAGAGGCTGGTAGACACTGTAAGTAAATTAACATAAGGAAGTGCTGAGGGAGAGTTTTTGACAAAGGAAGGAGGAAGCAGAGCCGAAGCAGGAGGACAGGGGATGGAGGGGCGGCCATGGCCGCAGAAGGGGAACGGGGTGGGGGGGGCTCATGCAGGGCACCCTGGCTGGTGCGGAAGGAGGAGCCATGGGGCTCAGTGGTCCCAGCCCCCTTTGTACAAATGGGACCCAGAGGCAGAGAAGGGGAAAGGGACCTGCCAGGGCTCACATGGCCAGGTGGTGACAGAAGTTGACCTCAGTTCTCCTGCCAGGCCAGTGCTCTCCTTGCTCCAGCTGAAGCAGCCCTGAAGGGCAGAGGAGGATGCTCCAAACTCAGCAAGTTCCTGCTGGGCCCATCTCAGCCCTGAGTGTGGAGGTGGGGGGCTGTCAGGGAAGAGGGACAGGAGACAGGTTTATACCCCGACCTGCACTTTGCCAGCAGTGTGGCTGAACTAGACTGGTGCTGTGGGGGCCCACCCTGCCCACTGCTCGACCAGAGGCTCTGGCCAGGCCTGAGGCACTGACCCTCCTCCCTTCCTGCCCTCCTTGTTCCAGCCTGCGTGCATGGCGGGAAGACGTACTCCCACGGGGAGGTGTGGCACCCAGCCTTTCGCTCCTTCGGCCCCCTGCCCTGCATCCTGTGCACCTGTCAGGATGGCCGCCAGGACTGCCAGCGTGTGAACTGCCCCACCGAGTACCCCTGCCGTCACCCTGAGAAAGTGGCTGGGAAGTGCTGCAAGATTTGCCCAGGTGTGAAGAGGTGCTGGGGGCAGGGAGGGGACTGGCCAGAGTAGCCCTGGTCTCTGTCCCCAGGGCTGCAGATACTTGGAACGTCTCACACATGGAAGGGCATGCACTCAGAGGCACAGAATGCAGGGTTTGTAGATGCATGAGATGTTAGAAGCACAGGAGTGGAAAATGTCACACTTGAAAAATATTGACAGAAATAAATAATGTTCTGGATTCCATGAAGTCATGAAATTTTAAAATATTAGGACTTTCAAGAGGAATAGCCAGTGTTTATTGAACACTTCATTAGCTTCTTGTCTCTCCCAGAGGACAAGGCAGACCCTGGCCACAGTGAGATCAGCTCCACCAGGTGTCCCAAGGCACCGGGCCGAGTCCTCATCCACGCGTCAGTGTCCCCCAGCCCAGACAACCTGCATCGCTTTGCCCTTGAGCATGAGGCCTCTGACCAGGTGGAGATCTACCTCTGGAAGCTGGTAAAAGGTAGGTGTTGGCCCACTCCCACCTGGGTGTACCGCTGGCCTGTCCCCCTTCCTGTGCTCCAGAGCCCACAGGGGCCTTAGGGACGTTTTGTTGGTCAGGTACCCCTGGCTGCCCTTCCAGGTTTAAGAGTCCCTGATTCCAAGATGTCGGGAGACAGAGATTCTGTCTGTGACTCTGACAGTTGTGATAAGCTCGCTCAGTCTGAGATGCCAAGGTCTCAAAGTGCTCCCTCTCCTGGGGGGAAGGCGCTGTTGCACCTTGCGAGGAGCCGGGCAGGGTAATGCTACCCTGCTGAAATAGCGGATGGCTAGTGCAGGCTCTCAGCGCTCTGTGAGGGGACAGCTCTCCAGACAGCAGGGCCCTCAAAGCAGGGGGCCCTGGGACTAGTTGGTTCAGCCTTTTCTAAGCGGTGGGTCTTGTCACTGCAAGGTAAGGTGACATCAGAACATATTTCTCATTCTGTGAGAAACTTGCCCTATTCCACAGGCTGCTCCTATCACCAACTGAAGGTCAAGAGAGTTTTCTTGGTAAAACATAAATCTCTTGGAAAACATAAATCTCCTGGGTAGAGTGAAACATGAAGCCACTATCCAAACTAAACTCATAAGTGTCACTTTCCTCTACTGATGGGTTTGGCTGGGGGGCGGGGGGTGGAAGAGGGGATGATGACAATGATAATAAGCAATGTGTGCAGCACTTTAGAATTTACAAAGTGCTTTCACATTCACTATCTCATTTGATCCTCAACGATCCTGAGAGTTAGGTATTATTATCCCCATTTTACAGATGAGGAAACTGAGGCTCAGAGAGGTGAAGTACCTGGCCCAAGGCCACACAGCCAGTAAGTGGAGGACGGGAGCTAGAGCCCATGTCTTGTGACGTCAGATGCGGCTCTTTCCCTGCTCTACTCTGCCCCCTGTCGTAGGAGGAATGGACGAAGAAAGTGGAGCTGTTCAGCCTGGAGAAGAGAAGACTCAGGGGGCCAGGACTGCTGGCTTCACGGCTCCGAAGGGCTGCCCCAGGCAGAGGGAGCAGCCATGTTCTAAGTGACCGCAAGGGTCAGACAATAAGCAGGGGCTTTGCAATCAGGCAGACCTGGGTTCGAATCCTGGCTCTGCTGTTTCTTAGCTGTGTGGCCTTGGGCAATCACGTGACCTCTCTGGGTCTTGGTTTTCTCTTCTGTTAATTGGGGAAGAGAGGTTTTGGAGGATTACATGAAATGACATAGGTATAGCACCTGACATGTAGTGGGCACTAAAAACGTCTTTCTCATCCCACGGCATCAGGTTGGTTAGAACTGCAGAGAGGCAGATTTCAGCTCAATAAGAACTTTCTCATACTTAGAGCCTTCCTACAGTGGAAGGGAGGGAGTGAGCTCCACAAATGAGAGCTGTGCAGGCAAGGGCTGGCAGGGGTATTCTGTATGCATCTGGGGAGATAGAGTCAGTAGCCCTTACGATTTTTGAGCCTTAAGATTCTATCAGTCCCTGGGCAGGTGCTGGCTGCATGTTTACTCTGGGCCTCCCCTTCCCCCAGGTGCTGGGACCACAGAGAGTAATGGGCCCCAGCCTCTGCCCTTAGGAGCTTATGGCTTAGTGACCCAGGTGCAGCAGAGCTGGTCAGGCAAGGCTTTGTGGAGATGGGCCTCCCTGATTTAGAGAGGCAAGAGGTGTGCGTGCAGGCAGGAGGGCAGTGACAGCGTCAAACTCTAGCTCCAGAGCCCACGCTCATATGCCCTGTACTCTGTGACTGGTATGTAGCAGGCACTGTATGTAATGTGCCTATTTAATCCTCATGAGAAACCTAAGGGGTATGTATGAATGCCCCCATTTTGCAGATAAGAAAACTGAGCCTGAGAGGTCAAATGACTTGCTAAAGTCACGCAGTTTAAACAGTAAAGCAAAGATTCAAACCCAGGTCCAACTGTCCCCAGTGCTATCTCCACAGAGGTGATCTTATGCCTTTAGGGAAATGCCTGAGGAAGGCCAAGGTGTGCCAGGATGGCACAGAGGGGGCATAGCTCATGGCCAATCTCATCATCACCAGGCCCAGCAGAAAGGGAACAAGGTGGAGGGGACTCTTCAACTTCACAGCTCCAGGTCCTACCATCCAGCCACCAGCAAACCAGCGCCTTCTCCTGACCCCCGGCTGCCTAAATGCACCATCAGCCTGCCACCCCCTCCCTGTCCCAGACCATGGGAGTTTACACAAACACTCCCCTGGGCTGAGTGTCAGTGGGAACTGCTGATCGTTTCCCACTGTGAGGAGTGAGACAAAGTGAGCAGGCAGACGCTAGGTGAGGCCGCACCGCAGCGGGACCAGCTGCAGGCACCAGAATCTGAGCAGAGAGCTGGCTCAGGGTTAAGGGCCTTTTAGACGCTAAAGTTCCAGAGTAGGAAGGACCTCAAGCCCTGCCTAGGAAGGAAGTCCCCCTGCAGCCTCCTAATGCTGCCTGGCCCCTGACTGCACAGACCTCCACTCCCACTCCCAGACAGGTGATTCACTCACTTCCAACGCTGGGAAGGGCTCACCTAGAGAGGGCGTGTCCTCACTGAACTGAGCCTCTCCTATTTCCTGGGACTCACTCAGTGGTGCCAGCTCTGCCCTGAGGATCCACAGAGCCCAGCTGCCCTCAGACCTGGCACAGCCCTTCAAAGAGAAAGAAGTACAACCATGACCCTCAGGCTGGCTCTTCATTCCAGGCCAAAGAGCCCAGTCCTTTCAATTATGCTTTGCAGACCTACCCCATCCCTGTCACCTCCTCTCCAATCTCTGTGACCTGGGGAGCATGCAATGGCAGGCCTGCGCAGAAGGACCTCTCCCCATCTCATCTCATGTTTGCTGCCTGCCACTGTGATGTTGCCCCTGGGTCTTTGGCATCTCTTCTATTTCCTGATCCTTGGCATCTGGGCTGGGGGTCCTGAGGACAGTGCTGGGCATTTCCTGGAACTCAGTGCCAGGATCAGTGTTTTCCATTCCCCTTGTTGGGACCCCACTCTGATTCCCATCAGCAAGGCCAGTTCTTGGTTTTCTTGAAGGCGGTGCTGGCCTAGCAGAGGCTTTGCTGTTGCATCTGTTCTTTCTGGCCAGAGACCTCGGTGGGTAACAGCTGGTGCAACCTCGTAGCCCATGTGCTCAGGGCCTCAGGGCCATGTATGGTGTTAGTGGCCAGATCCTCATGAGATGCAAACATCAGGGGATCCAGATAATACCTCATTCCCCCTCAGGGCCTGGCCCGGACTAGGTACACATATATCTGTCCGTCCGTCCATCCATCCATCCATCCAGGGAGTCATTCATTCTACATGTCTAATGTGGGCCAGGCTCAAAGGACCCAGAGGAAAGCACTCCAGGAGTTCCCAGTCTGGTGGGGGAGCCAGGACTAGACACAATGATGGCCCATTAGAGCTAGGAACAATCACGAACAGAAGCCAAGTGCTGTGGGTGCCCCAAGGAGCAACTAAGGCTTGGAGGACTGGTAGGAGTTCACTTGGTGACAACAGCAGAAGTAGAAGGCAACAGTAGAAGGTATTCCAGCAGAGGGGGTGGCATTTGTAAGGCTTTGCACCCTCAGGGGACTTCAAGTGTTTGGTCAGGGCTGGAGCACAGGCAGGGCACTGTCACTCCACACTTGCCAGTTCTTGCTGTCTGAATAAGCACAACTATTGGTTTTTATCACACGGTCTATGCCTGGGGAAAAGCTTGACAAGTCCATATGAGCCAGCCAACCTCCCTCTCTCCCCTCCTGTCCTCATTCCTTCCTCCCCTGGGGACAAGTGAGTGCTGGGAGAGCAGGACGGTGCTGGTGGCAGGAGCAAGGTCAGCAGAGAACATGGACCTCACTGTGGAGGTGCCAGGAGGTCAGGGAAGGGCAATGGCAGGGTAACACACACGCAGTGGAGTGACCGCAGTTAGGATGGGGGATTCCAGAGGGAGTGAAAGGGGTTAGGACTCTAGTGCAGTGGCCAGACAACAGGAGCTGAGTGAGCAGAGCGGCAGTGGGACAGGAGAAGAGGGTGGAAGTCTTTAGGAAATGTAGTCAGCAGGATTTGGTGCCTGATGAGCGCGGGGGCAGCGAGGGAGGTGCTTGGGTCAGTTCTGTGTCTAAGTCACTCTGTGTCACCAACGGACGGTCCTGCCTTTCCTGCTCATGTCCCTGTCTCTGCCCTCAGGAATCTTCCACTTGATTCAGATCAAGAAAGTCAGGAAGCAAGACTTCCAGAGAGAGGCACAGAACTTCCGGCTGCTCTCTGGCACCCACGAAGGTGGGCCCCTGGGCTGAGGAGCGGGGCCTGGGGAAGAGGGCAGGGTGGAGGCCAGAGCCTCTCGGGGGCGTTCCCAGGCTGCTGGTGCCAGGAGGGGGGGACGGGGGGCGGGGAGCTGTCAGCCACAGACGTCAGTTCCCAGCACAGGAATCCAGTGGGCGTCTGGGCCAGAGATTTCCCAACTCGGGAGCGGGAAGGTGAAGCAGAGTGGGCTGGACTTGGTCTTGCGGGTGGGGGAGACAGGACTGTCGGGGAGAGGCCTGAGCCCCCAAACCCTGCTGCTACCTACTCCGTCTCTGCGGGAACACTTCCGCCGAAACCTTCCCGACTCTTTCCTCCTGGTACCCTGCAGTTGCTCTACGATACTCTTAGGAAGATAGACCCAGGAGGGGCTTGGAGGGGGGGAGGTGAGTGTTCCCAACAGGTGTCAGGAAGCCAGCCCTGCCCCACAAATGTTGGTTGCTTGAGGGCTGGGCCATGTGCCAGAACCGTGTGAGACTCGACTCTCCCTTGGGCTCCAAACCCTGGCCACACGCAGTTCCTCCTTGCCCTAAGCTTTTCCCACCCCCAGCCGCTGCCTCTGGTATGCACACGCACACACACGCATACTTCTCTTCTGCCTTCCTTCACACAGGTCACTGGAACGTCTTCCTAGCCCAGAGCCCGGAGCTGAAGGTCACGGCTAGCCCAGACAAAGCGACCAAGACATTATAACAAAGAACTAAACAGTTGCAGATATGAGCTTTATCTTTTTTGTTATTATATATTAATAAATAAGAAGTTGCATTACCCCTCCACCCTGTCTGCTGTGTTCATATCCTGTCTCCCACATGCTCTCCCAGGGACTCTGCAGGGCAGGCCTGGTTATGCCCATTTCCAGGGCTGGAGACTGAGATCTGAAGGGGCAGAGACTGGCCCCAGTCTTCACAGTGAGTCAGCCCTGGAGCCAGTGAGTTCCCACAGCCTCCCTCGCCCCAGGCCTTTGTCTGCTGCAGTGCCCTTCTGCTGTCCCCAGAGCCTCAACTATGGCACCTCCTGCTTTTACAAACGGCCCCCTTCCCACAGCTCTTTGGCACTGAGCCTAAAAAGGGGGACGGATGCTAGTTAGCCGGGGAATGGAAAATGGTGCCCCAAAGCCCTTTCCCGGAAAACACTCCAGGGTCCTCACCACTGTTGGCCCCATTTACAAAGAGGAAACTGACTTCAGGGAGGAGCAGTGAGCAGTAACTTGCCTGAAGCCATGGAGCTGGCTGGTAGCAGAGCTGGAGTTAGAAGCCAGGTCTCTTGCTCCGGGTGAGCACTGCCTCCCCAGTTCCGTGCCGTGACTAATGTTACAAGCCCAAATATCCTCACCCCAGAGGATTTCCAAGACTTGCAGTCCAATTGCCAAGCTGGCATCATGCTTTGAGAAGAAGACCTAACAGTTACAATTAAAGACACCACCAGTAATTTATCCTGCCCACGTGTACAAGTCCTTAGAATTTCAGAGATGCTTCAACACCCATGATTTCACTTAAGGTGAACAGTGTAGGAATTGCCCACATTTCAGAGAGGGGGAAACGGAGGCTCAGTGTTGGCAAATGTCTTCCCCAAAGCCTCACAGTTATAAGCTGTGAAGCTGGGCTGGAACTCAGGCCTCCTGCCTCCCAGGCGGGGCCCTCTCCCCAGCACAGCAGGTCTCGACCATCCCACAGCTACAGCTCTCCCACCCCCACCCACCCAAGCCTGACTGGAAGCCCCAGAGAAACGGTGGACAGTGGGCTGTTGGCCAGACTTAACACAGCCACTGAGAGGGCCCTGGCCGTTGTCTCCATAGCCTTGGTCTTGAACCTAGGGTTACTAAGGTCCAGAAAGTCTGCCAAGCATCCCACCAATGCCACCCTCACTGAGCAGGGATGGCGGTCACCCTTCCCAAACTCCCTCTGCCAGCTCCTGGGGGCCTCCTCTCACAGCCTCTGCCTGTCCCCCTCCGGAAGACTCATTATTCTGGCCTGGCTTGCTCACCACAGGGGGTTAGCTTGCAACTCAGGGGATGGGCTCTGAGCATCCCCCATGCAAAGCGCAGGAATCGGAAAGTTCAACTGTTCACTTGGTGGACTCTGGTCGTCCTCCAGCCTGGTTCGGATGTCTTCCTCTCAGTGATGCTTTCCCTGACACTCCCACCCCACCCCTACCCCCGGCACCATGGCCCCTCTGCTCTGCTGGGAAATGGGGTTGGGGGCAGGGCTCTGTGATCCCAGAACAGGAATGGACTTCCCTGAATACTTCTCCTGCTGCTGCAGGCCTAACTGCTGTCCTGGTTTCCCTGATGGGCTTATATGAGGCCTATGATGTCCACTTTTCCACCATGGGGGGCATGTTCAGCACATCGACCCCTCCTCACTTTGGCCCAGACCTGCCGGGTGTGTAAACACAAGGCTTGCCGTGTGAGTCTTCAAGCAGCTCTGCCGTGGTTCGATACCACTCTCAGTTGTCTTCTCCTGCCATGTATTCATGCATAAAATATTTTCTGAGCTACTCGGCAGTAGGCTTCACGCTAGACAGCCAACACCCTGCAAGGAGCTAGCACTGCCTCTCTTGTCCTTTGGGAGCCGCAGGTCTGGAGGAGGAGACAGAGGAGACAGACGTGTCGTAGCACCCGAGTGCTGAGGGTGGTAAAGGCAGGGACTATGGGGGGCACGGTCCCCAACCCAGACCAAGGACACAAAAGCAGCCTCCAAAGGATGGGCAGGAGGTGGAGAAAGAGGCAGAGGGAGACAGAGAGGGGCCCCAACCGTATCAAGCGCAAAGTGATGGCATAGGAAGAGGAAACATGGTAGAAGATGGAAAACAGCAGATTATGGGAGGATCGCAAGTAGCTCGCTGTGGCTGGATGGCAGTTGGAGGCCAAGAGCAGAGGGAGGTGAGGCCACACACACCCCTGAGGAGCTCTGACTTCACCCAGGGCAGCAGGGAGCCTTGGGAGGGTTTCAGGGCTTTGGTCAGTCTGTGGTCAGAAAGGGGCTCTGCGAGCCAGGTGAAGACCGGGGTGGTCGAGCAAGGCTGAGACTAGGTAGGGGCTGGTGTGGGACCCGTGTGAGGGACGGCAATGGCCTGGGTGGCAGAGCGGACGACTGGCTGGATGTAGGGCTGGAGGGGGGAGGAGTCGAGTGCGTACCTGGTGTCTCACTGGTGGCACCTCGGGGAGTAGAGCCTGGATGTTGCAGCTGAGCACACCTGGAGCCTCGGGTGCTAGCCAAAGCCGAGACAGGCTGGGCTACGGACAGGGAGCTGGGAGCTATCTACCCGCAGTGGCAACTAAAGCCAGGAGTGGGGAGACACTGGTCTGGCAGAGATAGGAGGGTGAACACAGGAGGGAAAAGGACAGAACCTGGAGCACAAGCAAAAGAAGGCGCAGAGACAAGAGGAAAAGGCAGGAGAGTGGGGGCTGAGAGTGCCGCGTGGCTGCAAAAGCGTCCTCCGTGGTGACAAGGAGGCTCTGGTGACCACGGCAGTGAGCAATGTCAGGAGAGCCAAGAGGTGGAGGCCGGGTGTGGGGTGCCGAGGTGGTTTCTGGGAAGTGACGAAACGGACAAGTCTCTTCAGAAATCCGGCAGTAAAGGAGAGGCCGTGGTGGGCTGTGTGCAGGGATGGAAGAGGAGCTTTTTGGATGGGAGAGATTTAAGCAGGTCTTGGCGATGAGAAGATGCCACAGGGGAGGGACAAGTAGGAGAAACGGGTTTAGGGATGAGTTAAAATCCATTCTTCCCGGGCTACTCACTTGCTGTGCGACCCTGGCTTACCTCCCCCTGAGTGTGAGGAAGGGGAGGGCACAGTGGTCTCCCAGGGCCGCCCAGCTCTGCCCCTGAGCTCCCCGAGGCTCCAGCAGCGAGTCCCAGGAGATCCACTGTCCTGCCTGGTGGCCAGGCTGGGCACAGCGTGGGCTCTGGCTGAGGCAGTGCCGTCCTGGCCACTAGTTAACAAAGCGCTTTCAAATCTGCTGTCCCATCGGATCCCTAGGACAACCCAGTGAGGTGGGATTATCAACTATATCATAGAGTGGCTGACCAAGGTCACACAATAATAAACGGAGGAGTTGGACTCCGGCTGAGGTCTATGATTCTAAATCCTGTGGGTCCCAGAGCAGAGGAGGGGCCAGGTTCTGGGCTGGGGCAGGCGCAGCTGGCCTGGGTCAGAGCCTGTACGCCACTCGGCCTTCCCAGGTAGCTTCCTGGTCCTAAATTTTATCGTCCTATTATGATGCCAGGCCTGGCCTCCAGGTTTGCTGGGGATGCTTCCTCCTCCTCTGGCAGCTGTGAAGCCACCTCCCTCTGTCCCCCCACGAACTCTGGGCTCTGGGAAATGGCAGCATTTCTGAGAAACAGGACGTGGCCTGTCGTTTGGTGCTGGCCTGGGGTGAGGGAAGGCCTGGGGCCCCACCGGGCACAATGGCATCTCTCTCTCTAGGGCTGCCTCAGCTCCCCTTCTTCCCTTCACCCTAGTCCCTGGAAGACACCCCCTTCCTACCTTGTCCTCCATTGAGTCAGTTCATGGAAGATGAGCAGGAACTGCTATAAGAGGTTGGCAGAGGTTGGAAGCCGGGTGGGCTGCCATGCGTTTCTGTGTATAGGGTGTTTTCTCAGACTTTCCAGAATTAGAACCTAGATCTCTGGATCCCCACTCAAAACTGTTTTAATGACCACATGAAATCTGACTTCTCTCCCCAGTCCCACCTCCTCTAGCACAAGTCAGCACTCACATAACTTGCCCAAAGTCAAACAGCAACTGAGAGTTGGGGCTGTGATTGGAACCTACGGGTTTGACTCTGAAGTCTGGGCCTCCCGCCCTGTGATGTCTGGGCCGAGGAAGAGGAGATCAGCCTTCTCACAGGTCCCCGCCTCCAACCTCTCCCCTCCTACCCTTGCCCCCCCCCCCCCGCCCAGACAGTCTTGTCTATCAGGCCAGAATGATCTTTCAAAAACACAAATCTGACCATGTCTCTCCCTCATTAAGCCCTTCCTTCGATGACTTTCCACTGCCCACAGGATAACGCCAAAGCTTCCTCTCCTCATCCTTGCAGATCCTGCTCCTGCTGCCTCTTTAGTCCAATCTCCCTGTTTTATCTCCCAGTGGCACCCCAGAGCCCAGTCTACTGCACCACCTTACCAGGCTGGGATGGATCTGGGCTCCAGGAAGACCTGAATCACAGGCTCGGACATCATCAAGATGTTCTCTCTCCATCTTCAACTCTGTTGCCCCTGAATATCAGCACTTTCTTTCCAGCCAACTCTTCCAAGAATCAGACAACACATCATGCACTGCTGCAGCCTAATGGCCCCCAACCATATCGAGTATAAAGGCTCTTCCCCCGCAATTCCATTAGAAATACTCTAGGGAGGGGCTGTGGTCCATGTCAGGTAATATACAACCAGCCTTGGATAGTCAGGGATGAGGTGCAGGCATCATATGATTGGAGGGGGGAAGAGCAGCACCCCAAAATAAGGACATGGGTAGGGTAACAAGCGCGTGGTCACCAAAGAGATCCCTATTCCCAGGCTGCCACTGCTACAACTCAGAACCATTTATTAACCCTGCGTCCTCTCTTCTCTCTTCCATATCGTTTACATGCTGTTCCCTCTTTCTAGAATGTCTTTCTCTATTTTCTGCCCATACTATTCCAGCTTATCCTTCAAGATTCCCTAGCAAA